TATATAATCTATCTATCTAACCTATCTATCTATCTATCTATCTATATACGGGCAAATAATACGGGTCCATTATCCTTGGCATTAGATAACTGAATCGCGCTTGTGCGTGCACATGCTTCTGAGAGAATCTGAGGCTCACTGTAACACATTTTGAATATAAGTTACTAAGCTCAAGTATATTCACATGGTGTTAGCTACGTATCTCTTCAATTGATAAGGACTGAAGACTAATGCCAGGTGCTCGTGTTCGTGTGCATTATCCGTAATATACGCAATGCGAAGTGTGCTGGCTGGAGCCCCTATCCACAAGAATATCTTAGGTACACTACCGCATGAGCTTGCATGTTGCACGGTCTCAATGCCTTCAGTAAGGCATACGATTGATATCAGACATATCCCCAATTCGTTACACTGGTTATTTTGACCCCGATGCTTGGGTTATCAGTAGATGTGGCATGGGTGAGAGTCTTTCTCTCTGCGAAGGGTCTAGCAGTACTGGCTCACTTTTAGTAGGTCTACGTCATGATTGCCCTGAGTACATGGCACAAGTTTGTGGCTATGTGTATTCGATGTGCATATTCATTATCCTTCGTACGAGGCTTGAGCTTATGGATATACACGTTTTACTTTACACGTGTACATTTCCATTATCCTTCGTATGAGGCTTGAGCTTATGGATATACACGTTTTACTTTACACGTGTACATATCTATTATCTATCGTACGAGGCTTAAGCTTGTGGATATAAACGTTTTACTTTACACGTGTACATATCCATTATCCTTCGTACGAGGCTTAAGTTTATTAATATACGCATCCGTTTTTACGTTTTCCTTGTAGATCGACCCCGTTCGAACGGCTGCCGCGGGCAAGGTAGATCTCGGAGCATTCCTCACATACCCAGCGGTAGGTGCTCTGTTTATAGGCCTGAGTGGTTTAGCCTTTATTTGCACCTGCAGGTGTGAGTAGGTAAGATATATCGAGGAAAGCTCTGAGATAGGTGTTCTGTGTATAGGCTTGAGTGGTTTAGCCTGTATATGCACCCGCAGGTGTGAGTGGGTAAGATATATCTTACAGCTTTCCTCACATACCCATTAATAGGTGTTCTGTGTATAGGCCTGAGTGTTGTGGCTCTTTTTTGCAGCCGCACGGATGTGTGTGGCCCGTGGATTAGCCGGGCGCAGTTCTGTAACGGCCGTTGCTATGCTTGCCATATATAGAAATTGTAAGGTCTTGGCTCGTTGGGATTACGTATGGTTTATGGTACGATGCCGTACGGTCGCATTGCAATCATATTGGACGGTAAAGTACACGAGAAAGTCCGTTTCAAAGGATTATATGTCATGTCTGATTATAGGGTTTAGAGTTTGAGGTTGTATATTACTATACATACACATGTATACATACCTGTCAGTATACACTACACCGTAGTAAGTCTGTGTTGTAGAGTCCTCGTTATGTCTGACAGTCCATGGTTGTCTACATTGTGGACAGCGTGCTACAGGCTATGCCATCAACGCCCTGTAGCACTTGAAAGCACATATAGGCATATCCCACTGCATTTATGTGACACAGGTGATATTAATTATTAGGTATATAAGTACATATGTGATATTAGTTGTTAGCTATACAAGTACATATGTGATATTGATTATTAGATATATACGTACATATGTGGATTTTTAGCTATTAAAGTACATGTGTGATATTAGTTATTAGCTATATCAGTACATATGTGATATTTATACTAGATAAATAAGTACATATGTGATATTAATTACTAGATAAATAAGTACATATGGGATATTAATTACTAGGTATATAAGTACATATGTGATATTAATTACTAGATAAATAAGTACATATGGGATATTAATTACTAGATATATAAGTACATATGTGATATTAATTACTAGATAAATAAGTACAATTATTAGCTATTTACTTACCCATTTGGTATTTATTATTGGATATATAGATACCTGTGCGATCCCAAGTACTAGCTATATAAGTACACAAGTGATCTCAATTACTAGCCGTGTAAGGTATATCGAATGGGTATACGTTTGTGTACTCAAACGTTTATTATCATGTGCCTCGCAGGACAACTTACCTAAGGCTGCATCCGAGGAGCAGCATCAGTTCATACCCTCAGACAAAATCGCCGACTTTGGAGCCCATGCCAACCAGTAAGTGCCCGTTAAACGTCTGTCTTTGCCGCTTATTCTTGAGAATCTATTGTTCCTTTGGCTTTAGGCGTATCCGTTGGACATAGTCCGATTTGTACCGCAATTATGTTCGAACACGGCTAGTCTACTGTTACTAACGATGTACAGTCTCTTACTTCCAGTACAGTTAAACAGGTGCTAACAAAGCTAATTCCTCGTATCTACAGCTATTATCAACTTACAGTTACCTATTTCAAGTCTGATTTGGACCGGGCATTATTCGAAGAGTTGTGGAAAGAGTACTGGATGAACACACTCTCGTCTTCAAACGTCGAAGGGGTAGGTCAATGAATGTGTGGCACTGTTCAATAATGTATACTATACCTAAATGTGTGCGTGCTTAGTATTTATGTCAGGGTATTCATATATATATATATATATATATAATTATATATATATATGTATATATACATG